AGAAAGTCTCATCCATGAAAGCGGAGTTAGCATGGCCACTGTGTAGCATAAAATGAGCAGGCAAGGGCAGTACAGATAGAATTGGTGTTGACAGAGGTTCTTATAAAATGCTGACCGTTAGCTAATCAAAGATACTCCATCAAGGTCAGCCCTATGTAAGGACACAGCTTCTGTGGTTTTCCTGACTATATGATTATCATGTATCTTTTTGGTGAACTTGCTTTGATTAGGTGACATATTTACTTTCAAATGTCTGCCAATCTACAAGTCCCTCATGGCCACTTGAAATATTATGACCAATCCTCCATAGTGTAACCACACATTCATATACTATTTTCCCCATAGGACCCAAAGATGTGTCCTTTGATGGGATTGTATTGAATCATAGAATGTCTCTTTGGAAACAAGGCCCACACGTGGGCTATTTTACCCTCCACCTGATGTTCCTGCTCTTCTCCACTGCACTTAATACAGCTAGCAGCTGTAGCTTGGCTTTGGAGCAGAGCAGATACATCCACACAGAGACACTTTGAAATGCAGTACTTACCTCTGTGGGGCTGGTCAAAGACTCAGGCGTCAACTGTCTGTGTGGTCTATTTACCAGCTCTCTATCTCTTTGTGCTCATATAGCAAGTGTCACTGCCCAGAAGATCTGCAGATAACTGGAAACTCAAGCATCTCAAACTCTGTATAGTTGGTTTGTTGTTTGTGGTGTTTTTGTATTTTGAGGCTGAGTCTTCTTATATTTCCTGCACTGGCCTCAAACCCTCAATCCTCATGTCTTAGGCTTCTGGTGGCTAGGATTGCAGACGTGGATACCACTGAGTAGTATCTTTGCTCCCTCCAGAGGAGACAGTGTCATGATGCTCTGAGTTAGACCCAAGAAGCAAGAGCTTTTAAAAGCCAGCTATAAAATGCCCAAGTATCTCTAGTAAGCTCACCTCCCAACTGAAGAGAGAGAACGTTTTCGAGTAATTTTTAATCTTATAAAGTCTATTTTCCTCCCAACTAGACCAGGGGAGAAAAATATCCAGACACTAAATAAAAGCTTAGGTATAACAATGTTATTTTTCCTGTCTCTTGGTGATTAAATGCAATTTTATCCATTTGGTAATACAATGATTGTGGCCACATTAGATAATGCTGGTGGATTGATACAAAGGGAAACTAAGCATAATGAGGTAACGTTTATTTTTACTCTTTAAGTTAAAAATTCCCAGGGACATTCAAATGAAATCTATAAATAGTTGTAAAGCTATCTAATGAAATGGAAATAGATTTTATTCCCAAGTATTAGCAATTTTTTTTGTTATGTTTCAAAAATCAGTGCTGAGCATTTTAAAGCTTCTAGGTTCCAGGTTGGCGGGGGTGAGAACAGGGGACATCAGAATACTAATCTTGTGACTTGTTTCAATAGCTCATGGCCAGGAAGGAGGCCCAATCAAGACAGAGCACAGGGCCATTGTACTAGTAGGGGCAGGTTTACTAGACTTAGAATGATTCTAACTTTTGAAGACACGTAGAAAATCACATTTTATAGCAGATCTAAGGCTTCTATCTCATATAAGGTTTTTATTTCTGTGTTATACCCCTAAAGATTTCTGTTGGCAGGAACATCTGAACATGGATTTCTCCATGACAAATTGTCAGATGGCAGTCCTAGCCATACTAGTTACTTCCATTGCAGGGGCAAACGAAGGGATCCTTTCAGTTTGCGGTTTATGGGGATTCGAGCAGACAGTTCCATGCCATTTGAAGGATGAAACTGTTTGCTCACCTCTAGAGGGTCAGGAAGCAGTGAGAGGGCCTGGCCTCTCATCCTCTTGGAGACTCCACCCCAGGCATTGGATGGTCCCACTCACATGTCTGTAGTGCAGATCCACCTCTGTTGTCTCTGTCTGGGAAGAGAATCTGACACACTCAAAGACACAAGAGTCACAAGTGCCCTACAAAGTTCTTGACCCAATGAAGTTGACGTCAGAATTAGACCTCACACTTCCCCGTGACTGTTACCTTTCGTTGAGGCAGGTGGAACAGTACCATACAGTTCACGCATTTTTAACAAAAGTTGCTCATGAGATCTTCCCAGGCTCTGCTCTGCTTCTGACTTTCATGAGTCCCGAGTTAACTTAAAAGGGACAGCAGCTGAATATGTGTGTGTGTTTGTGCGCTCACGTGTGTGTGCATGTATGTGGTGTGGTGTCTGTGATCAGAATGCTTCTTTGCCACAGTCTTTTCCACCCTTCCCCCATAATGGCACACTACCCCTCCCCCACCTCCATCTCTTTCTTTTTTCCTTTCTTTCTTTTCTTTTTTCTTTTTCTATTTTTGGTTAATCAAGGGAAAAAAAGTTTCAGCTTTTAAAGCTGTGAATTGGTTCCCCATTTTACACAACCTCTCTCCCTCCCACAGTTCTGTGGTCTCTACCCGCTCAAAGCACAGATTGAAATTTGATTTGAATTTCTTTAGAGATCTTTACAGCTGGGGGTGGGGGTGGGTGATTTCTACATCTTTTGGGGTAAACCTGGGAAACTCAGCCCAGATGTTCTGATTTAGAAGAGGTATTGACCTGCAAATTTAAAAAAATATTTATTCTCCCCTTCTGTGTTTGGAATTCATCAGTAGCCCTGCAGGTACAGGCACTTGCAGGTGGTGAAGCTTCCCTGTCTGCCTTCTTTTTGGTATTCAGTCTTTTTCTCAATCTGAAGCTGATTTTTCCCTTCAAGATTAAACCAAAGAGATCTGGAATCCTCCCTGTCCCCTCTAGTCCACCTCTCCCCCGCCACACACACACATACCCCAAACCCCACTCCTATCCTCCTTGATTGCTCTTGCAGTCTTCCCCCTTTCTGTAGTCTTCCCCCTTCCTTTAGTCCTCCCCCTTCCTGTAGTCCTCTCTGCCCCTGTAGTCCTCCCCATCCCCTCTAGTCTTCTACCTCTATAGTCCTCTGCTCCTTGTACTCCTCCACTTCTGTAGTAGTCCTCCCTTCTCCCTATATTCCTCCTCTGTAGTCCTCCCTGCTCCCTGTAGTCCTCCCTCCCCCCTGCTCAGCATTGAGTTATTACTGTCCTTTGTCAGATGGGTGTTGAGAATTTTAGGAAGAAAAAAAAAGTTGTTTATTTAACTTTTAATAGGATGCACTTTAGCATGAATTGCCTTATGTATTTGTGAGTCTAAAACTTGGCACTCTCCTCAAATTAAACAAACTAGATATTTGACAGGTGATTTAACAAACTAGATCACTTTTCTACTTTTTTTCCTCTATGGAGACTTATCTAGACTCCCAAGAAATCAATAATTGAAGACTCAGCATTGCCCTAGATCACTCTAGAAACAGCGCTCAGAGGAACCCACACTGTGAGAAGCCTTAGGAGAGAGGCTCTTTGGATGAGCTACTGTTTTTGCAGAAAGGAAAGAGAAAGAGGAGGAAAATAGTAACATAACAACAAAGGCCCTTTTTAGTTGCTCAGAAGCAGTCTCTCTAGACCTTTATTTTGACTTATCTGGCAAAGGTTTTCTCCACAGTCTGTGTGTGGATACTATGTAGCTTACTGAAACTCCCCAACAAAGTTCATATGGCAACTGTTAGGTATTTTCCCAGGAAAAACTTACGTGTCAGCCACAGCAAAATGAGATGTGATTATGAGAGTCGACTTAGGCTCGCTCTCAGCGTAAGATACTTATAAGCAGAAGAGGCATCCTTTGCTCTTAGGGAAAACATGAACGTAGAAGTGGATAATTCTAGAACACAGAAGGAAATTTGTGCGTACATTTTTTTTTCAGTTACCCAGTGAGTGCAAACTTTTGCTCCGAAGGCATTTAGAAGTGTTTGGTGATGATGATACACTTTTGGAATAACGAAACAGCCAAATCAAGAGGAATTGCGAGCACACCTGTCCGGTTTTCATTCCCTTCCGAGTGTAGTGTTTGTAGACAGGACTTTGATAGCCGAAGTGGCAGGTGATTGAAGTTACAGACGTGTATATGAAACACTCTGTTCCTTGCCCCTTGAACTCAAGGGGAAGCAGTGTCCAGCACATTCCACCCTCTCTTCCTACTCAAACTATAATTGAAAGCCTGCCCCTCATTACACGGATTGACAGCCCATCTCTTTACAGCTTTAGTTACAAAGCCATTTAGAGATTTCACCAGCCTAAGGACAAACAGCTATGCGTGGAGAGAGAACATGGCTGCTTTAAAAGACAGACAGACAGACATTAGTAGAAGGGATGTCTTTCCTTGGTGAATGTGGGCCATGGTGGTTCCCCCACCTGGTGGTAGCCAAGTTGTCAAAGGGCCCAGAGAGGAAAGGGAGTGTGCTAACCCTCTGTCCAGCTAGAGTTTTCTCCAGCAGAAAGCTTGGCTGAAGAGGCTCATGAGGGCTGCTGATAACACGTGCTTGTTGGCGTTTACACAGTGAACAGAAGGCAGACTCGGAATACCTGAGTTCTAGGATGCTTCTTCAGTATATCTGAGGCTGGAGAAAGGAGCAAGGGGGTGTGTGAGAAGGCTTCTCTGCCAGTGTTTGCAGAACTTGGACGCTTGACAAGCAGAGCATCAAGTTAATTGTTCTTGAAGCAGGAAGTCTGGAGTGGAGGAAACAGGTGTTGGGAGATGATTGCCTACTTTTGAAATTACCGGGTTCACTCTTTTGTGCTTTCTGGTGTGGCCCCCTCTCAGTCTGTGGGCATTTGGAGGATGCTGTCCCTTTTACCTGTAGAGCAATACTAAATCAGATGTGTGCGGGAGGGAGTGTTTAATCACATTTAGAAGCAGGTAGCTTACATGCAGCGATGTTTCCAGGATCCATTTCTCTTTGTTTATGTTTCTGTTTCTTTTTGGCTTTCAGCATCCCATACATCTAGAGAGCTTGTGACAAAGAGTGAATTATTTATTTTTCAAATTGGTTTTTCAGACATTTCATGTTCATGTAATCTTGCCTATTGATTTCCTGATTTTTTCTTTATTTTTTTGTTTTGTCCATTTTATTTTTAATCAGCTACATCAAATGGGTCTTTGGAGGGCCTGGATAACCAGGAGGGAGGGGTGTGCCTGACAAGAACCATGAAGATCCTCATGAAAGTTGGACAAGGTAAAGATCATCTGCTTCTTTGTGAAGCCACTACGACCTGGTGTCTCCCCAGCTAGTGTGGCACCAGGTGACGCTCACCGTCACCCCTCACTTTAGTTTTGAAGGCAGACCCTTCTCTGCACTTTGAACCACAGGCAGAGTGTCCCCCCAAGGCAATATACTCAGCTTTTCTTATTGGAGATCTCTCTAAATGTTCAGGTCAGCAGGACAAAGTGTCTGTGCATTATCACAGATATGCATGTTTCTCTTTACAATGCAGAACACCTCTTTGATTGAAAAAAAAAAATCAAAGTATCCAGTATGTAAACAGTGTTTCTGCAGCTTTGTTTCATTTTCAAATCTGGACAACCCAAGAGCTATGTTTTCATGTAGAATAACCTATTGTGCAGAAAGAAAGAATTATTCTTCTAATTAGAAACTGGTATAGTAGTCAATCAACTTGCTCAGTTAAATTGAAATGTCATCTGCAATGCTTTGACTGCCAAATGCAAGAATCCCTATAGTTTCCACAGATGGCCTCCCAATCTAAACCTCTGAAATAACTAGGATAACCGTTCTGATTAAAAAGGAAGATTATATTCTTGTATTTCACAGTGCTTTGCATAAAGAGTCTTATGTTCGTTGCTATTCATGCCTCTTGAGATATCTGTGCAGCTCTGAAGCTAGCTATAGTCAGATGTCTGTGCCATGATTAATCACTTGTTCTTCATATAGATGCAAGTTCTGCTGGATCAACCAGGAATCATGATCCAACAAGACGTCCAGAGCTAGAAGCTGGTACAAATGGGAGAAGTTCAACAACAAGTCCCTTTGTGAAGCCAAATCCAGGTACAGTGGTGTGGTGTATATGTGTGTGAGTCGATGGGGTGCATCTGTTAGACGCCCCCACCCCCACCCCCAGAGGTGCAGAACCCTCAGAGGACTTCTGTACTGGTGGGATTCACCACAGCTATAGTGCCTGTGCTCCGTGCTAACTGAGCCGGTATTAACTCGGCCAATAAGACAGACTAATTTATTCCCATCAAAGTCTTACCATTACAGTCACAGAGCTCACCAGATGTGTCAGTTACCAGTGATGCCCCACCAGCCGGGTTTTCATTGGCTGATGCCGCCTCCTGCTCACTGCCGACACCATCCCAAAGCTGATTTAATGTATATATAATTTGTGCCGTAATCCCTGTCTAATTACATCTAATCCACAAAGAGCCTTGATGATCCTTTTCTGAGTCTTAGAAAACGCCGCCTAATGGCATACCTTCCAGGTGGCTGTTCTTAATGTTTTTCACATTCTGTATGTAAAAATAAAATATTAAAGGGCCTACTGACCGAAGTACAGCATGCTCTGTAATATAGGCTCATTTTCACAACAGCCCCGCTTCAGTGTGCTGATGTCAGTGTAAGGCGTAGCTGGCACACACACACACATCAGCACTTTTATACTAGGGATCCTCCTGCTGGTTTAGAGGTGATAAGAATTTGGATTTACGGTAATATTCTGTCTCTTTCCAATAGTCAAGAAAGGAAGTTTCCACCCCACCCCCTTTCTAACTTTCAATGACAAGATGTGTCAAATTCTTGTGACAAATTGATAAATGGATAGTGTAATGGTGCCAGGCAATTCTTTAGTGCTAACATTTGGGTTAGCAGTCTGTTCGGTGCCAGAGCGTCTGCTGCCTTCCAAATATATTTTAAGTGTAAATCAAATAATACAACCGAGTTACGAGTTGAAGCCTTTCCCGGGTCCCATCACTTCTTCCTCTCTGGCGTATCTCTGCTGGTAGGCAGGGCTTTCTGTAGAAGGCGGGCATTTGGAGACACACATAATATCCGGTTTGAAGCATGAGGGAAGAGCAGACCAGGGCAGAGCTGGACCATGCTCTGGAGTAGGGGCCTGTGTCTTTTCTTCCAACCGGGCCTGGTGCACAGACAAGGAAGCGGCTGGGGATTGTGTGAGCACTAGAACTTGAGGCACCATTTCCCTATCTGTTCGCCCTGCGGGTTGAACATTGGACATGCATAATTATTATGTTTTGAGGATTCTGCAAGCAACAGGGCAAACCCAGGACTCTGGTAACTGGCTCTTCTTGCTCCTGTACAGGTTCTAGCACCGATGGCAACAGCGCGGGGCATTCCGGGAACAATCTCCTGGGTTCTGAAGTGGCCTTATTCGCAGGGATTGCATCAGGATGTATCATCTTCATCGTCATCATCATCACTTTGGTGGTGCTGCTGCTCAAGTACCGCAGGAGACACCGTAAACACTCTCCACAGCACACAACCACGCTGTCTCTCAGCACACTGGCCACGCCCAAGCGGGGTGGCAACAACAATGGCTCTGAGCCCAGTGACGTTATCATACCTTTAAGGACTGCAGACAGCGTCTTCTGCCCGCACTATGAGAAGGTCAGCGGGGACTATGGGCACCCGGTGTATATCGTGCAGGAGATGCCCCCACAGAGTCCCGCCAACATTTACTACAAGGTCTGAGGCCTGAGGCCTGTGCCTCCCAAGGGAACTCACGCCTTGTTGTTGGGCACGCAGGGACTGCCTGAGCCTGGCTGTGGGGGCAGGATGCCTCCTGGAAGAGCCTGGATCTGGACAGTTTTGTAGTCTGTAGCTTTTCGACCCTGGGGACCACAGACCCTCCCCGGAAGCTGGAAGACTGCTAGGAGATCCCCACTTGGACTGCTGCGTTCCCACGCGGACCTCCAAGCCATTCACCCAGCCACTCAGGCCATTGCAGAGCCCGGGGAGGACACGGTAGGCTCTGGATGGTGCAGCAGAATCTTAGGAGAAGGTTGCTCACCAGGCCGGGCTCTGCCTCCACGTTTTCCTGCCGTGCACACTGGACTTATCGGACCTCGGGTTCAGTAAGGTTTTCAAAGATCTCTAGTGTTTAGTCCTCACTCACTCACTTCTTCTCTTGCTAGGGCTCTGCAGCACCTCCCCAGACTCCTCACTCCATGTCCTGAATCATTACAGGATGTTCACCACAGAGTCCCAGCTTCACCCTTTACACCAAGATCAAATTAGATGGGTATTAGGTACAGAACCCTGCTTATCTGGAGGCTGAGTCAGCTGGGAAGCATGGAGGCGTGGAGGAGTGAGAAAGTGCTGGCTGCCACCACAGGTCAAAACTGCTGCCCCTGGAGCATAGTAGGGACACAAGAAGAAAACAATAGATAGTGCTTTGGTTTTTCTGAGAGGACAGAGACAGGTGGGAGATGACTGTGGTGAGTGGTGGGGAGCTGCTCAATACCACACAGCTATGCAGCAGGGAATCAAAGTCCCTCTCCTGCAGGGGAACAAAGGGGCCATTGTTGTGAAAGGACCAGCTAGAGCACAGAGGGAGAGGGCAGGCCTCCAGTGAAGTGCTGGAGCAGGACTGTTGAGGTACTGGCAATAAAAAGCGCAGCCGTGGAGCTGTGGGAGAGTCCGTCTGCTTTGGGAGATGTTTTAAGCAGACTCAGCTGCTATATTACCACATTTTATTAAACACAGGGAAAGCATTTAGGAGAAGAGCAGAGAGCCAAATCTGACCTAGAAGTTGAAAAGCCAAAGGTCAAACAGGCTGTAAGTCCATCACCACTAAGGTTATTGGAGAATTCTCATTAGGAAAGGTAGGTCAGATCCCCAGTCCCCATAAGTGCCCCTTCCCCCTCCCTGATTGAGCCTTACACTTTGGTTTTTGGTTTATGGCCGTGCTGTCCGGGCTCCAAGGCTGTACCCGGGCTCCATGTCAAAGCAAAGCACACATGGCCCACCTCTTAGAATCCTTAAGATGGAAGTAAGTTATGACGCGGAAGGGAAGGAGGAAGATAGGAAGTATTTATATTAGGTGTATAGAACACAAGGGATATAAAATGAAAGATTTTTACTAATATATATTTTAAGATTACACACAATACACACCAGAAGATGTGGAGTTCATTGGAGGTGGTGATTAAAGTGATTTCCGTGCTTAGTGCTTCAAAAAGTGGAAGATTGGATAGCTACTCCCCAAAAGTACCAATAACAAGAAAAGTATCAATAATGAGAGCGAACAGCAAAAGTAACAAGGTCCTGCGGAAATCTTGCAGAACCGTAGACCAGGAATGCCAGCCAGCTCCCAAACACCAGGAAATCTATGTGACCACCCTGGGTTAGACAATGACAAGATGTGCTAGCCTTTATTTTCCATGTTGGGTTTTCCCTTGCCTTATGGGCTGAAGTGTTCTCTAGAATTTAGCAGGTCACACTGAGGGGGTTACAGTTGAAAGTTTAGCTGTGGGTCCCTCCTCCTCTCCTGCCTCTATCCCTGCCCTTTCAGAAAAGAATAAACAGGAAGCAGGAAGCCTTCCTTTTTTTTTTTTAAGTGCTATGCAAAATAGACATCTTTAACAGAGTCCTGTTACTATGGTAACAATTTGCTTTCTGAATTGGGAGGAAAAAAAATATTGTAACGACAGCATTTGAAGGTTCTCAGACCTCCAGTGAGTACCTGCAAAAATGAGTTGTCACAGAAATTATTCCCTACTTCCCAAACCTGAAAATGATGTTGGTTCGATGTGTGTGTGTGTGTGTGAGTGGGTGTGTGTATGAGTGGGTGTGTGGTACATGTGTGTACATATATGTATAATATATATCTCCAATATATATTATATATATCTATATCATATTTCTGTGGAGAGTTGCCATGGCAACCAACCACAGTACATATGTACTTCTTTCCATCACCCCAACCTCTCCTGTGTATTCATACAAGATTTTCTTGTAAGCCATCAAAAGTTACTTCTAGGAAGGGGGAGAGGGACGAGGAGGGGAGACATGGGAAACCGTCTGATTTTAATGAAATCAAGTGTCTGTGTCATCGGTTGGCTACATTTTGGTTCTATGCTAAACTGTGAAGGATCAGATGAATTGATGAAGAGTTGAGTTACCTGCAACCCATTGAGAAGTGTCCTGTGCGTCTGTTTTGTGTCTGGTGCAGAAAATGACAATCTACCAACTGTCCCCTTACTTGGAGTTGGTTCAGCTTTGGAAAGTTACTGTAAATGCCTTGCTTGTATTATCATCCCTAGTCGCCTGACTTCGGAGCTTGCACCATCATGTTTTAAGTGAAGACGCTGTAAATAGGTTCAGATCTTACCGTCTATGGATTCGGGTGTTACAGTAGCCTTATTCACCTTTTTAATAAAAATACACATGAAAACAAGACAGTAATGGCTTTTCTTACCCAGATTGTGTACATAGAGCAATGTTGGTTTTTTATAAAGTCTAAGCAAGATGTTTTGTATAAAATCTGAATTTTGCAATGTATTTAGCTACAGCTTGTTTAACGGCAGTGTCATCCCCTTTGCACTGTAATGAGGAAAAAAAAAAAGGTATAAAAGGTTGCCAAATTGCTGCATATTTGTGCCGTAATTATGTACCATGAATATTTATTTAATTTCGTTGTCCAATTTGTAAGTAACGCAGTATTATGCTTGAGTTATAAATATTTTTTTCTTTGTTTTATTTTAATAGCCTGTCATAGGTTTTTTTAATCTGCTTTAGTTCCACATGACAGTTAAGCCCCAGAAATGAGATCCGAGCAGTCACATTCCACGTCTGTTTCAAAATGAATTTGTTCTTAAAAAAATAAAATATTTTTTTCCTATGGAAAAAGCGCCTTCAAAGTATTTTTCCTTTCCTTTTTATTTTTTCTTTTGATTTTCTTTCTTTTTTCTGTTTTGTATTATGATTTCCTTCCTTTTGTTATTTTTCCAAAGTCACAATTACCCAGAGACTTCTGCTCCTGGATCCTCTTTATGCCCATCTTGAAAGACAAGTTGTGCATGTGTTACAAATGAAGTTTGATTAAAGCCTTGACATCCATGCAGGAAATGCCTCTGGTAGCACCTGTATTGCACAGTGAGAGCGGTCAGCCACATGGTGAACCCTGAAAGAAGAGGGAAATAATGTATTTGGATTACATTTCTGTGTCAGCCAACCACTTTGGCAGGCTAACCCCAAGGTAGCAGAGGAAGTCAGATGGTCTTCATAAAATTTTACCTTGAGGAAAAGTGTGTTGTAAAACTGGATTAAGGCAAGCCAGAGGCCAGCAATGAGATTGAAAATGTGAAACTAGTGAGATGCCTCAGCTGGTGACATACCTGCCATGCAAACATGAGATCTGATACCCTGTACCCTAGTATCCCATGACTCTGTTAGCCTGTAACTTCCTGGAGAAAGACTGGCTAATAAGTTTGAAATAAGTTCTGGTGGAGAGTTGGGAGAGGGAAACAGTTGATGTCAACCTGCGCTGGTTGTTATGGGCGTCAGCACAGTGAGCTTATGCCCACGTCTATTCTTATAAGTACATATGACACACA